TGTCGGGAACAGGGAAAAAAGCAGTTCCTAGGAAAAAGGTAGGTCTACCACATCTGTGTCCAAAGCAATTCAAAACCAAAAACCAGCTACTACTCAAAAACTGCTCTAGGTTCTAAATCCTTAAGTCATCACAGACCCAACAGAAGCTAAACCTATAAATAATAGACCCAAAATTTAGAAATGTTTCCTTGTAGATGCCATGTACATGAATAAGCCTTAAAAAAAAAAAAAAAAAAAAGACTTCTGCCTCAAAAGTATATTTTAGAAATAGTATATAAGTTCCTTCCTCTCGATTCAATGTGCCCCTCTTTTCTCATTCTCAATTCTCTAATGCAGTTTTTTTCTTCCCCTACCTATTTCAGTTTGAAACGTGGCACTAAAAAGGACACTGGAAAGCAAAGGGAAAAGGGAGGGGAAGCTGCTTTCAATTTTCACACACACACACACACACACACACACACACACACATTCTCTCTAACCAGTGGCCTGAAAGACAGTCAAGCCAGGCTCCACCTAAGAAAGGACTGAAGGACCAAACTGCAGAGTAGAAAACTCCCCCTTGCGCCACCTCTCCCAAAAGCAGAGTTAAGAAAGAGAAAACTGGAAAGGAAGGAGGGGGAAAGAAAGCTCCACATTCCTGACATTTTTTAGCCAAGTGCTGTAGCTACACAGAACAGCTCTATTCCAAACAGCCTGTAGGAAAGGGAGAAAACCTGGGTTCAGGGGTGTTATGGGTTGAATTGCATGCCCTACCCTCTGCAAAATACGTGTTGTAATCCCAACCTCTATGCCTGTGTTTATAATCTCATTTGGGAATGGGTTGTCTTTGTTATGTTACTCAGGTAGGATTAGTGTCTCTTGAGTCAATCTCTCTTGAGATATGAGAGATTAAACCAAAACTAGCAAGGAGAGATGGAGGAAAGAAAGATGCCAAGCCACGTGAAGACTGCTCAGAAGCAACAAGGACTGTCCTCCAGAGCTAATGGAGAGATAAAGCCTTTCCCTAGAGCTGGCACCCTGAATTCAGACTTCTCGCCTCCCAAACTGTGAGAAAATAAATTTGTTTGTTAAAGCCATCTACTTGTAGTATTTGTTGTAGCAGCACTAGATAACTAACATAATGGGCAAAAAGAACATGCCCCACTACCTTGGTAATGAGAGAAGGGAATCTGAGAATGGCCCAAAACTAAATGAAAAAATGTGTCCTTTCGTGTGTATTCCGAAGACCAAATGATGCTAAGGAAGGAATCTGAAGTCTTTATCTCCAAAAGGACAGAGAACTGAAGCCCTGATGTCTCTGACAGGGAAAATGAAAGCCCCTCTGAAGGCCGGAGAGCTGACTAGTGATTTGGGAAAAGGGCAAGGATGGAACTGTGCTGCCTGGGGTACTGAGGGACAGGGGCCCAGTTAATTGGCAGAGTCTGGGTAATGGGATCCCAGAGGGAGGAAAGGCCAGGAGAGTCACTCTTTCTGGGAAGAATTTTAATTGAGTTTTACCAACTCAGTTTCTGAATGAAGAAATCCTAGCCTGGCTCCAAATCAGAAACCCAAGAGTCTGATGTCCTCTCTCCTTTTCTCTGCCTTCCCCTTTCACCTCTTTTTGTCCTCCCTTCAAGGCACAAGTATACTGGTGAGTACTGGACTGCCCCGTCCTCTTTCCATGCATGTCCTGCACTATAGACACATACACCCATATATATCCCTACTAACACACATGCACATACCAACACCTCCAGGGGAGAGTCCCAACACACCCAGACCCTACGTAGTATCCAACAAGTACTCTGCTGAGTTATGAGGAGTCTAAACTCACTGCCACTGAATTGATTCCAACTCATAGATGGGGCAATCTGCTTCTGTAGTGATACTGCCTCAGAAACCCAAGCAGGAGTCACTATGAGTTGGGGCCGACTCAACAGCACTTAACAACAACAACATAGTGACCCTACAGGACAGGGTAGAACTGCTCCATAGGGTTTCCAAGGCTGTCAGTCTTTGTGAAAGCAGACTGCCACATCCTTCTCCTAAGGAGTGGCTCATGGGTTCAAACCACAGATCTTTTGGTTGGCAGCTGAGCACTTTAACTCACTGTGCCACCAGGGCTCCCTCATTTCAAGTGTGGAGATGCTCATATTTATTTCTCATGAGTCCCTAGAAGTAGCCTAGAAGTTGCTGCTCTCATTTGATACAAGCAGCAGAATTCCAAGGGTTGCCCACTCCACTCACCTCCCCTACACCCCTAACCCCCACCTTACAAATACCTTATTCTGTGGAAAAGCAGTCATTAGATGTAAACAATAAGAACCTACTATGTGTCTAGGTTGGGAGCTCTGGGAGCATAGTGCCTAAGGCACTTGACTGCTAACCAGAAGTCTGGCAGTTCAAACCCACCAGCCACTCCTCGGAAGGAAGATGGGGCAATCTACTTCCGTAGTGATACCGCCTTGGAAACCCAAGGAGGGGTCACTATGAGTAGGGTCTGACTCAATGGCACATAACAACAACAACAACAACATGTGTCTAGGTCAGCAGAATACTATCCTTGATAAAGGTTTTGGGCATGCCCATCTGTCTCTCAGATCAGCACAAACCGACCATCCCACAATCCAGCTCACCTCAAGCAGGAGACAACCTGCCCTGTCAACAGGCCTAAGGTTCTACAGGAAGAGGGTGGTAGGGATGGTGAGAACAGGGGTCCTGCAGGCATTTCAACCAGGGCCCTTTCCACATTCTCCAGTCCAATCATAAGGAGGGGCAGGGGTCTGTGTATTTTTTGTTTGACACTTTCTCTTTTTTGGACTTTCTCTTTCAGGTACTGGGAGTAAGAGCTCTTAGCACATTTCAGCTCCCACAGAGAGGCAGATTGAATGCACAGGACTTTCCACAAGAAACAGGGACGGAAGGAGGTACTGAGTTCAAAGGCTTGGGAGCTCTTTTTGAGCAAAGATAAAGCAGGTAGAGCCATAAACCTTAACAAGTGTCAAAAACACAGCAGAGAACCATGAGGCCATGCAAGAGTCTTCCCCAGCTGTAAAGCATGTGGCTATAAGGTCTACAGCTGTCACAAGTGTCTTTCCAGACACACCCTTCAAGACTGGTGACAGGACACTGGGAGGCCTCTTAGAATGTCAATAACATTGAGGGTATTGGCTGGGCAAAAAAACAAAAAACACCCTATTATTTCATTAAGCTATTATTATGATAAATAATAACAGGGCTCAAGAACCAAGAAAATTGTTTTCACATTTGTAAAATATGTTATGGCTTTTTTTGCCTGTATGATCTCAGTTAAACCTTACAGTAACCCTGGGAGGATTTCAGGTTTTACTAGCTTCACTTAGTGACAGGCAAACTGAGTACACATAGTTTTTGGTGAAATAGTGCCTAAGGCATCTGAATGCTAACCTGAAGGCAGGCAGTTCAAACCCACCAGCCACTCCTCGGAAGGAAGATTGGGCAATCTACTTCTGTAGAGATAATGCCTTGGAAACCCAAGGAGAGGTCGCTATGAGTTGGATCCGACTGGACAGCAATGACTTTGGATTTTTTTGTTTTTTTTAGTTGGCACAGAAGGATTGGGATGCAGAATCCCCCTACTTTGACAAAGCCCTTCCCAGTATACCAGAATTGTAGGGGGAAGGATGAGTGGGGAGGAAGAATTTGAATTAATGGAACACTACCAGAAACTGCAGAGCAGACCCAAACCCTAGTCTCAGGTTTACTTCCTACAGACACTGAAGCCCAACCAAGGATAAGTTCACACATCTAACCATGACTCTGGCAATGCAAGCATGTCCCCAGTTTGCTGGCAGCTTCACCAGCCAAACAGGACCCTCATGGTTATCTGCCGACAGGACCCAGGATCCAGGGAACCCAGAGACAGAGAGCATGGAGGGAGAAATCAGCCCCGTTAGGAATCCTTCATCTGGAAGGCAGTTTGTAAATGGTTAAAGCTTCGTAATCCATCCCCAGAGAATGCAGATAAGCAATGCTACTCAGAAGGGAGGACAAGAGGAACCAAAGGAGACTTCAATGAGAGTGTGGGGAGTGTCATGTATCTCACTTTAGAGACAAGATATACCACAGTAGACCCTATATCCAGGTTCCTTCAGTTCTTCCCACTTCAGAACATCACATTTTTCTCACTCTCCAAGAGTAGGGAGTCCTTCCCTGAATCAACCTCCTTGGATCCTGACCCCTTTAGGGCTTACTGAAACATCCTTCTATGAGGCCTAAGCCAGGGCACTCCTGCTCCCTATATCCATAAAGGTAAGGATCATCTTTCCCATAAAAGCAGAAGGTGTCCTGCCCCTTTTCTTGCCCCTATAAAGGGAAAGCAGCTGTGGGTCCACCCCAAATGGATCTAAAGAGGCAGTCACAGAGTGACAAAGAGGACCCTAGGAAAAAAGGGGCAGGACAGCAGAAACACACTTATGGGATGGGGCCACATGTGAACAACTACCCTACCCCACCCCCAGCACGTTCCAGAGTTGAGGATGCAAAAGACACTGGTGGGAGGTTTGGAAGGGGCCAGAACCCCTCCCACTGGAAGAGCCCAGAGTGCTGATGGCCACCGCTTTGGGAGGAGGAGTTGTGCAATGACTGCGGGTCTGGGAATCTCCGGGCTTGGCTCCCGGACGCCAGAAAGGAAACCCCATGCGTTGGGCCAGGGTGGCAGCGCTGCGGTTGGTTCGAGGCCAGGCTTGGGTTTCAGAGCTGCAGAGAGAGCTGCAGAATACAGTGGGCGCCCAAGGGGGCGGCAGAGCAGGGCAGGCTGGCAGGGCGCGGGGCTAGGGTGGTGTCTGGGCTAACGGAGAAGCCAAGGGGCACAAAGCAGAGGTGGGGAACACAGTGCACAAAGCCGGGGGCTGCAGATAACGTACATGGCAGACAGACGTCCCAGCTCACACGAGGACCCCGGGGACCTTCGGGGGAGTGCCAGGCTGCGCACCAGAGGGGACACTGATCACCCCTCCCGCGCCCGCTCCAGTGTCTCTCACCTCGAACATAAGCCCGATGAGGACGCAGAGCACCAGGCAGAAGCCGATGTCCGCATGGTTGTGGATGACGAACTCCTGGCTGAAGAGCGGGTAACTTTTCGTCTTTCTGCGGAAAGCCATGGCAGCGGGCGCGCAGCGGCCGGCGGGGCCCGCACACTGCGCTCACAAGCCGCGGTACAAACTTCTCCAACCCCGGCCCGGTCAACCCGCCGGCC